CCTGGTTGCCGCTGATGCACACTGTGACAAACTTGCTGCCGAAATGGCCCCCACGCGCCCACCGGCACCGGCTCGGGTACTTGTTCTGCATGTACGCTGCCAGCCGGCACTCAAGCGATGTCAAAAAGTACGAGTTGCCATGCCGCCGGAACAACACCTTGCCAGCTTCATCCGCTGGCTCCAGGTCCGTGAACACCATGCCGACGATTTGCAGCCCACATGCAGTGGCAGCCTCGGCTGCGCGCTCCATCTCCTGGTGTGTTCCTCAGATTCGAGCGGTAGCTTGATGCCATCCACGTCCCACGCCTGCTTGGGTTCATACACTGCCTCCACCACCGCCTTGACGCCCAAAGGCACCTCCGTGTACCGCTCGTAGTGCCCAAACAGATAGCCGAACCGCTGGCACCGCGTCGCGCGCCAGAACGCCAGCAGCCGCTCCACCAGTTCTCTGGTGCGCAAACTCCACATGGTCCACCATCCGGAACCGCTGCCGCATCAGTGTGATCGCCGACGGCTGGCACTTGGTGCAGATACCCTCCGGCCACGGTGCATGTCCACTCTTGCAGTCGGCCTTGACGCCAAAGTCAGGATCCTCCAGCGGCAGCGGCATATTTGCCGGCGGTCCATGGCTGATATCACCCGTGACCTTCTGGTCCACCAGCGTCTTGCGCAGATATGCATGGAACGACATGTGCTTGATCTTGTGCTGTGCCAGGTACCCGTCGTCGAACGGCTCGAGCGGCCAGCAGTACTCGCACATGCCCTTGTCGCCGTGCTTGCAAAAGTTGCCATCACGCTTGCGTTTGATTTTGCCATCGTCCTTTTCCAACTGACTATCTACTTCGTCCTGCTGAAAGAAGACCGACGCCGTATCTGCCGGCTCCTGCGCCGACGGCTCAGCGCTGGGCCGCGCCGATGCTGCGATTCGCGCATACAGCATGTCGCCGTGCTTCAACCCCAGCTGCGGCATTGTCAGCTCGAACTCGGCCATGATTTGCTTTCCTGCTGCGTCCTGTGTTAGAAGGATGTCGCTGGCCGAGCTGGCCTTCATAGCGGCAGCAACCTTGGCCAGCAGCTGCGCGAGCGTGTCTGACCCGCTGACCTCGACGCGGTGCATGCCCTCGGGCGACCTAATTCGAATAAGCATCGTTGATTTCAAAAAGTATGAGTAGAGCAATTGGGAAGAGCATAGAACAAGGCCTGCGCTTCGTGAGCAGCAGTAGACTTGCCCACGTCATTGCAAGCAAGCGGGGATTCCAGAATTAGTTTTCCAGCTTGTTTCTCCGCAAATGCAAATCACGATCAAGAGGCTCGAGTTTGTTGTACAGCGGAGTGTACAGATCACAGGCGCGTTCTCTATCTCTGGGACTCGCTGCTTCTTTATTTTCTTGGCGCATTGCCTTTGTCTTTATCTTATTTTGCATCGAGCGGCCATGGGAAACGAGACGGTGCCAACAACCCACAGCTTTTTGGACGGCTGCTACCTGCAGCACGACGCGTACAGCGGGGCAGCAACCCTGGTCTCGTTCCACTTTGTCCGCTACATCCTCTTCACAGTTATGTTCACCGTTGCCGGGCCCCTCGTATACCGACTCGTAGCTGCCTTCTTCGATCTCGAGCGCGACTTCAAGAGCTTGGTCGATCATTTCGACGACATCACCAACAGCCTGATATACTCGTACATAGTCTTCACGCTAGGCAACTACTCGCACACGTTCAGCTGGGTCACACTTGTGTTCTATTTTGTCGGGATCCTGGGATACTCGGCGCTAGTGGAAATTCCGTTCATGCGCGTGAGTCTGCCCGGCTGGCGGGACTGGTCGAAGCCCGGCCTGGGCGGTGACACTGGCAGGCTTGGCGGTGGTTCTGGTGGCCGCTGGCTTCCACATCCACTGGGCGGCGCGCGCCGGCATTAATCGAATGGTACCTCCCGTTGTTCGTGCTGGCAACGGCCAGCGTGTGGGCAGGCGCCATTGTCAAGGCTGCACACCACTATTGCGCCGACAATTGTCCTGAGGGTCTTGGAATCGAACGCATGCTGCGCAGGTTTGCCCTGGTTTTGTTCACACGCCCGCAGCGGCGATGGCCGTCGCCGCCGCCAGGAGGAGCAGCGCGCTCAGCATATCCAATTGGTCGAGCGTGCCGAGCGCTACGCAGAGGCGCAGTTTGCGCAGTCCCGCAGCTCGCTCAACAACAGCGACGTGAATCCCAGTGCCATCTCGCCAAATGCCATTTCGCCCAGCACCACCGGCAACCACTCGGATGGGCCGTTTGCCAGCTCGGCGCGGCTCAACATGCCCATTGACAACTCGAACCGCGAGCGTATCAACACCATGACCCGCGAGGAGAAGCACAAGATTATCGAGCAGCGGCTCAAAAACCTGCATTACCTGAACGTCGAGACTGACGGACCCCTGCCGATATACCGATACGTGTGCACCTGCACCATTGGCAGATATTCTATATCCTGGCCTTCTTCACAAGATTCGACAAGTTTGCGTCAAAGATGTGTGCCGGGCTTGTGCTGGGCATTGTCACCCAAGGCAGTGCTGCGTATGGATTCGACGCGATGATGGAGCGCAAAGGCGAGTATCATGGATAGGTCTTTCGATTCTCCCCTTGTGTGCTGCCAAGGTCCCCTTCTCTTCCCTCTTCCACCATGTACTATTTCCTCAACAACTCTTGTCCCGTGCCCTTGAACCTTCCGACCCGACGACGACTTTATTTTTATTCGCCTGCTTTTTTTTTCTAACATATTTTTGTTCTCCCACCATCTTTTTGCGCTACAAATATAGAACCCACATACGAGGCTGTGCCGATGGACCGACTAGACAGCACCAGTGAAGCAAGTGACTAATGCTTTTTGTTTCCGAATTATCCCATCTTGTAGAGCTGCTCCGTCCTAAAAGCCAAATCCGAGTAGATTCCATGTACAGCTCTTTCAATATATGCAAGGATCATTGGTAGTGATGTATTAAAACCATTAGGCCATATCGCTTTCATAATCAGAGAATGTGGTAACAAGAAGCGGGGAATGAGGGAAAATTAACCTCCCCAGTAGCAATAATATCAGCTAGTTTCCCGGAATTTAAAGCGCAATGGCAGTGTGCAGCGCAAGATGGCGGTAAACCGGCCTGGCTGATTTGGCATGCGGCTTTGTATCGACAATGATTGCAGCAGTCTCGGGCACCTGGAACACAGGTGCAGCCTCTTGTGTCTGCACCACGATAGGTGCAGGCGCGTGGGTTTGCACTACAATAGGCGCAGGCGCGTGCGTCTGCACCACAACGGGCTGGGCCGCGAATGTGGCCACTGCATGCTGCGCAGCCGGCTGAATACCAGCGGGCGCCGGCATACCGGCCTGGGCAGCCCAAAATTGCTGCAACGGCCTCCAGGTTGCGCTGCGCAATCAGTTGGTTCTGGATAGTCACCGCCTGCTCATTCGTTATGCCGACGGCGTTGCCTGTAAGCCCGTGCTTGTTAGCCAGGATGAGGTCGGAGCCCAGTGTGTCGTCGCGGTTGAGGAAATCACGCAGCAGTGCCTCGCGGTTCGCAATTGCAGTGCGCTCGGCCAGCTCCTGGTTCAAAAGGAGCGTGCCGATTTCCAGGGCGGGCAGGGCGGACACTGTGGTGAAGAGGAGGGCAAGAACGGTGGTGAACTGCATGGCTAGTGGGTTGGAGTGAATATAGAGTAGTTGGGCTTTTCGTTCAGCGAATGGAGGAAAGTTGTTTTAGAAGCTTTGCTGATAGTCGAGAGCTGTGCTTCCTGCCAGCGCTGACTTTATATGTGAGCTTTCCCACCCATACGTTGGTTCTATATTCAACAAATGTACCTCTTTGCTGTTTCGCATCTACTAATATGAATTTCCACAAAAAGATATTTGGTTACTGTGTTATTCCCCTGATCGTACTATGGATATTGGAGAGAAGCTGAGGATGAGCATATTGGCTATTATTTCCAGCCCTCTGGAGGCCTTTATTCCCATTTGTAGTGTTATACCTCCCCTTATTCCACAAAATATGAGGGTGAAGTGCCCGAATGGCAATATTAGACGCGGCTTCCCCTCAAGTATCGCTGATGATCCGCTCACCAGATTGTGCGCTAAGAAATGCTTTCGGCAGCCAAAGATGCATGCTGCTCGGTGGTGAAAATCACGGCAGACTCGGTGCTTACCTACACTTCCAACCAATTGAAATGCAATAGACAGCCTTCCAAAGGATGTCATGTGGAAGACAACTCACTCGGTACATGCGGGGACATGTCGGCATATGGTCTTCCTCCAACCAGCATCTGCACCATGATGGCATGGTAGTCAATACGCTCTCGGGTATTCCTGGTAAGGGGCCCAAAGTGGTTTGTTTAGTTGGTTTATACAAGAAAGAAACAGGTTTCAAAAGGAGCTATGCGCTTCCCAAGGACAGGCGTCTGAAAAGGCGCTTCGGTGACCAGCGGTTCAGCGGTGCCTTGTGCGCCTGCTCCATCAGCGTAGAGTCAGTTGACGATGCAGGCGATGTAGAGAGATCCTCAGGCTTGGGGTGCGCATTCTCGATGGGGGTATCGTGTGTGCGCAGCAAGTGGCCTTCGTACCAGACTTTGCTATCGAAGACGACTTGGCATTCACGGCAGGTATACACGGGCATGGTTCCAATAACGAGTGCGGAGCTTGGAAAGTGTTGTGGAGAAAAGAAGCCAATATTGCTGTTGTGCGGGGGTGGGTGGAAAAAGAGGTTTTGTGTCTGATGGACAGACTCTGCCTATTTATACACGCTCCCCCGACGTCAAACTTATCCGCCCATTCAAGAAATGCATTTACAAGTTGGCCTAAAGGGCGGTTTCTCTGGCTTCCGCCAAGTGCTTTTCTGGAGCACCTGTCCACAAAAACAAGCTCAATTGGTTGCGGCATGTTGCCCCCTCCACACTATAATGCCGTGCAAAATTGATCACACTTGCACCTCCACTTTGCGTCAAGTGCTCAGACAGACGGGCGTCTGCACGCAACGTCATTGTGTGCAGAAATATTCCAGTACCATCTTGTGCCTTTGTCTATAGCTGGCCTGCAGCGATCAAGGCAGAAAAAATACAACCACATAAGCCCCTGAGGCCTGAGGTGCCGAACAAATGTTTAAGGGGCGTAGCTGGAAAGGGCTGGGCCCGGTTCCTTCCTTTAGAACGACAGGCTGGTCGGTTGGAAAGAGTCACAACCTATTGTTTCCAAATTCGCCACAATGCTGATTGAATCAGACCCGGTTCCTGGAACTTTCTTCTACAGCATATGGGCATTGTGCCACTCGCTGTTTCCACACTATATGCGAGAAGGGGATGCAAGTGGGCCAGAACGAGATAGACGATATGCACCTCCAAATTGTCTTTGGCTAAGCCAACGGAGGATATCCTCTCACACAAATCCCATGTCAGATATCCAAACAGGATATGCAGTAAAAAGTCGGGAATCAAGCAGACGTCTGGCATCCTGATGATATCTTTTCCGGAGTATTTTTTGCCAAGGTCAGAACGTCTTCTGTCTGCACGAGTCGGAGGGGCACATGCACCATGGAGATGCAGCAGCTGGCGAAAAAGGGATCTGCTAGTGGACAGGCCAGTTCCCGGAGACAAATACACTAGCAAATCGCTGCTTTTCCCAGCAATAAGAGTGTTTGGTGTCGTTGACGCACATGACCTGCAGCTGCCTGAAAAGACAAACAAGCTCTACACAGATGGCATCGTCGCGCGTCGCGCACTTGGCCCAAGGGTAGAAAGAGCGTTTCACAATATCCCATTAAAATAAAATTACTCTGCATATGCTGGTGGTGGTTGCTCCGAGCGTCGGTACACTGGTAGCAAGAACCTGACCCTGCTGCTCGACTCCTGCGACCCGCGGGTATCGCACACCTCCATCTGCTCCCGCGACTCCATCGATGCACGAACCTCACGCCACTGCATCGAGTCTCTTGTTGACACCCTCTCCAGCACGACATTCAGCAGGCCCTTGTCTGCTGTCGCATCGACCACAGAATCGAGTGCTGACGTCCTCATCTTCTCCGAGATCTCCTTCAACGTAATGCCCGCAGGCACAATAATCTTCACCAGCGGCCTGAAGTCCTGCGATGTTCTGTTTAGGCGCCGGTCCCAGGTGCGTGCAATACGGATGACCAACTGCACGTCGGTGCCACTAAGGCCCTTGAATAATCGCTTGAGCCGTGAGCTGTGTGTGTAGAGCTCGACGACCAGGTCGTGCGTGTATGTGTCCTGTGTACAGTGATGGTTAGCCACCATGATGTCGTCCTGGCGGGAGAGCCAGGCAAGCACTTCGGCGTAGGTACCGGTTACGCAGAACATGCTGAGGTGCTGGTTGCTGGCGTCCAAAAGGATATCGGCGAGCGTGCGGGGCTGTACACAGTATCCCCCGTACGGAAGCCCGAACGTGCCTTGTAGAAACCCGTACTTCAATGCCATCTTTGGAAATACGCAAGGTTGGAAAAGTAAACTAAAGTAGTGCTACGTAGACTGAATATGTCAAATAAAAAACTGTGGAGCAGAGCCTGGCTCGCGTATGGAATCTTCTTGTGCGACAGAAGTGGTCCTGAAGGGAAAGTGGGGTGGTGTCGGGAATGCTCTCTTGCCCCGGTGGATTGGACAAGGGACGCGCTTCTATTTTCCCTCGTACTGCAAATATTGCCCTGTCGGACGGCATGCAAAAGGAACCTGACAATTGCAGTAATGGGGGAGGCGGTGTCTCGGAACATGCGTGGCCAATGCAGCCTGTCTCCGGCCTAATGAACCAGCGAACTTTCCGGATGGAACGTCGAGGCAAGCTCGCACAATGACTAAGGAATCGGCAGAAGCCACCACCACCGGTGCTCCTAAAAGCAGGCTGAAGCGTCGATGCCACAAAAGCACGGCCTGCCTTTGCCACTAGCAGCGACCAGCCTTGTCGGAACATCTGCTTCACGCATATTCTGAAAATTTCCGGATAATTGGCACGTGTGCAGTTCCCGCCGGGAAATAGTTGCCACAGACTCTGATCCGCCTCTCAATGGGTCGCGACCCCAGCCAATCTTTGGGACAAAGCTCTCGTGGTAGAAAGTAAAGAGATAAAACAAGAAGATAGGCTAGCCGACTAATCCATCTCAAAGTCGTCATCGTCGTCGTCGTCGAAGTTATCGCTAGCGTCGTCATTGTCGTCGTCATCTTCCGAGATGTTCACATAGACAGGCTTTTTTGCGGTGGCCCGGCCGCGCGGTGCACGGGCCCGTGGCTTGATTGGCGAGATAGGCTCGTCGTCGCTCTCGTCACTTCCATTCTTAAAGACCTCGTTGTCTTCATCGTCGCTGTCAATAATCTTGCTTCGCTTCAGAACACGCTTCTTGGGAGCTGCAGCTGCTGGAGTGGCTGTTGGTGCAGGCGATGTTCTTGAAGTCGATGCTGCACTTGTTGTCGCTCTTGACGACTCCGGTGGCGCGACAGTGGCCTTCCTTGATGAGAACATATCGCTCAGAGTAGTCTGCCGGCCTGCCCCAAGCTTCGGCCTGGCCACCACCCGTTTCAGAATCAAGTTCTTGGAGTCGTCGTCGCTGTCTTCAAGGTCTGAGCCTAGACTGATAACTGACGGCTTTATATCCACCTCCAATGCATCATTGGTAGTACCGTTGGTGCTAGCCTGTCTCCTCGCAGCCGTCTTGCTCACGCTCGAGATGGATTTGGCTCGCTTGGCTGCTGGCTGCGATGGTCCGGCGCCATTGTCCTCGGTCTTCACCGCTGTAGCCGCCTTGCGCTTAGCACCAGCGATTGCTGTTGTTGCTGTGGTCGCCGTGGTCTTTCTGGCACGCGCGCGGGCCTTGCCCTTGCCCTTGCTACCCTCCTGGTTGCGGCGATCCTCTTCGTCATCAAGCAGCCGCTGCTCATACTCTGCAACCATGTCGTTCCACTGCTTTTCGACAATATCCAGATCCTCATTCCAGATGTCGGTCGGAGTCTTGGCCAGGAGCTGCTCCAGCTTGAGCTGGATGTCGCCCTTCTCCTGCAGTAGCTTCTGCACCTTCTCGAGCGTCAGGTTCCAGATCGGCATCGACAGCAGGTAGTCGTAGTCTGACGAATCCTCAGATGCAGCACGGTCAGCAGCCTCCTCGGAGTCCAGATCGCCGGCAACGCGAACCTTGACCTCCTTGGGGATCGGCGTGTAGTCGCGGTCGCGCAGGTCCTTGATGATGTCGGCACGCTTGCGGTTGTTGATTGCCAGCTTCTTCTGGATAATCTCAAGCACAAAGCGGGCACGGTTGTCGGCACGCTGCAGCTCGCGGCCCAGTTGCTCGGCCAGCTTCTCCTTGCGCAGCTGATAGTAGCGCAGGCGGAGCGAGTAAAAGTCTGAGATAATTTCCTCTGCCGACCCGTACTTGCGCAACCGGCCCTCGCGGTCAAAGCACACCATGTTGGACGTGGCAATGGTTGATGAGAGCTTGAACCGCTTGTCGAAGCCCTCGGCCTCTGCCTTCTGCATCTGGTCGGGCGACAGCTTCAGCACAATGTCAACCGTGAGCGTCGACGAATTGTAGCGGAAGTCCTTGATGATCGCAGGGCCCTTGTCGTTGGTCATCCATGTGTTCAGCAGCGCCTTGTATGTATCAGTCCACACGCGAATCGGCAGCTCAGAGATGTGCAGCTGGTCGTCAGAGATCTTTTCGATGGTTCCCAGCGTGCGGAAGCGGTCGGAGCTCACGCGCTCGATCGTGCCGCGGAACCCACGGTACCATGGCACCATAGTCTCCGGCTCCTCGCCACGCATCAAGCGACGGATGTTGTCTATAATGTCGGTCGGGTTGTAGTTCGGAATCGACGTGCTCCATCCTGTACCAATACCGTCCGCACCGTTGACCAAGACCATTGGAATCACCGGGACATACCAGCGCGGTTCAACGACCTTTCCGTCATCGGTGAGGTTCTCGAGCAAGGCATCATCGTTCTTGTGGAAGATCGAGCGTGTGATCGCGCTCAGGAATGTCGAAATGTAACGAGCGCTGGCAGCATCCTTACCGCCGAGTAGACGAGTACCGAAACTTCCTTCGGGCACGAGCAGGTTGATGTTGTTGCTGCCGACATAGTCCTGGGCCATGTTGACAATGGTGGCAACCAGACTCTGGTCGCCGTGGTGGTAGGCAGCCTTCTCGGTGACCTTTCCCTGAAGCGCTACAACCTTGATCTCACTCTTGATGTTGTTGACTAGCGATGTCCACAGAATCTTACGCTGGCCAGGCTTCAGACCATCGACAACCGATGGAATAGATCGACTGTTATCATCGATTGAGAACAAAACCAGCTCCTTGTTGATGAACTCTTGGACGCTGACGGATGTCTGGTTGTTGTCGATCCACTCTCCCGGCTGGTAGGAGGCCAGCCACTCCTTGCGGTCGTCGGCCTTCTTCTTGTTGAACGCCATGTCGAGCAGGCGGCGATCCTCAGACTGTGCAGGGGCAAAGGTCTTGCGGTGGAAGTCGAGCTTCTTGAAGTACTCGCGCGCATCGGCCTCCTTCGACGTACCCAGACCCTTATAGTACTTGATCGTCCAGTTCTTGGCTGCGTTGGGCTCGCTCTCGAACCACTTTTTGTACTCTGCCTCGGTGTAAAAGTTGTGGATCAGCTTTTTGTTGCGGTTGTTAGTAGCGCGCACGACGGGCGTGATGAACTGCTGCATGAAGCCATCCACCTCGAGCAGGCCCGGGTACATCGAGTCGAACATGTTTAGAAGCAAGCCCTTGATAT